ACAGCATGCAGTACTGGGGATCAAACCCCAGTCCCTGCACTTGCCAGGAAAGCACTTAGACCACCAAGCTATCTCCCCAGCCCTGGGGGAAGGTCTTTTTATTAACAGCCTCTGCACATGAGCAGAACGATGTTACCTCCTGCTTCCAGACATATGCCCTTGTCCAGTGCCCTTCTGCAGCAGCTTTCCCACCTGTAGTCTGAGATCCCCAGTTGCTCCACTTCAGTGCCAGGCTAGGGTCATTGCCTTCTTGGTTTTGGCCACTCTGATGGGCATATGTGTTATCAACTGTAGTTTAAATTGTCTTTCCCGAGTAGCTGGTACACTCACTGGCCTTTAGGAATCTTCTTTTGAAAAAGGTCCAGCTCATTTACTTGTTGAGTTATATGCCCTCTTTTAAATTGATTTGTGATAGTTCTGGAAATAAGTCCCTTTGAAGGTACACTACCAGTTTTCTTTTAACCTCCCAAATTTAACTCGTCCAAGTATTTGTCATGACCAAAATGATTGAGCAAACCTATCATTGTATTCAGTCCTCTTGCATTTGTTTATCAAGTATACTTACAACTGTCATGTTTTGTGTCTAGTTGTTCCCCCAAAGCCTCATGCAGTCACAGGGTGGTTTCTGGAGTTTGTGATTGGTCCTTGTGCATGTGGGTAGATAATCTGCACTACAGTGTAAGGAGGGGAGAGAGGCTAGCTAGCCACTGGGGCTGCTGCCCCTCCCTTTGCTCTTTGCTGTTTTCCACCGCCATGAGCGCCTGCTCTGTGCCCTGCCGCTCTGCCTTGGAGCCAGCTGAGTATGGACTGAAACCTCCACTAACTGTGAGCTATATAAACCTTTCCTTCCTCAATTTTGGGTGTTGAGTATTTGTCCCAGCAACAAGAGAAGAGTAACTAAAACAACAAATTTTAATATCTTGGTATAAAAATTTTACACAAGCTGGGGAGATGGCTCAGTAGAATAAATGCTTGCCTGGCAAGCACAAGGGTCTGAGCTCAATCCCCGGTTCTACAAAAAAAAAAAAAAAAAATTTACACAGACTTCTTGGGGCTGGTTTAATACCTGTTTGTATATCTTTCTCTTTCTCAGACACCTTCTATTAAATAGTATTTCATTGTTCTCTTTGGAAATATTTTAAATCTTTTCTCTTTTTTCCCCTAAGAGTTTTCGTGCCCATTTATTCTGATTTATATATGCACCTATCATTCTCTAAACCAGTCAGACAGGGTCTTCACACTGAATTATATTCTGATCTCGCTCTCTCTCTCTCTTTTTTTTTGTGGAACCGGGGATTGAACTCAGGCCCCTGCGCTTGCCAGGGAAGCACTTATTCCACTGAGCCATCTCCCCGGCCCACATTCTGAGCTCTTAAAAAAAATTTTTTTTTAAATAATTTTTTTTAAAAGGTCAATCATGAACAAATATTTATTGCTAAATGAACAATGAAGTGTTACATATACAATTTGGGCCAGTTCAGTTCCAGCTTGGAATGGCTCATTAATAGCAGAGCTTCTAAATTATTCTGCTAAAACGAAACTCATCTGATCTCACTAAAAGAATTTAAAGATAGATCTTTGCTGAAATGCCTGAGCTGAGCTCAAGGGCTCAGACTTGTGGTCCTCTTGCCTCAGCCTCCCAGACTGAGGACATACCATTGTACCTGGCTAAATGTGAAATCTTTTTAATTTCGTGGGCATAGGAGAAAGTGGTTTTCTCTTTCCCCTGTTAGCCATGTGCGGTTTTGTTAGCATCATGAAGTGTTTCTCCCTGGCAGTGGTCCTGGGGCACAAGCCAGCTCTCTGCGACCCTTCTCCTCTCAGTCTGGCCAGGAGGAACCTTCCTGTACTTAGACTGCTTCTTCTAGCGGTGATATCACACCTGACTTCTCCTTGGGGGCCTCCTGGAGCCTCTTAGAGGTAAGATGGCCTCTCTAGTCCCTCTCCTCAAGGTCACTCTGACCTGTGGGTCCTTTTTATTTTTGTATTTTAGGGAAGGGTCTACAGGGTGTTCAGGGTCTCATTACTGGATCGGACTCGTAGTGATCCGCCTGTTTGCAGAGCTGGGAGTACAGGCGTACGCCACCACGCCCAGTCTCAATCGCTGTCTCAGCGCGCCCCCGGAGCAGGGCCGGCTCTGTAGGCCCGGGGATGTCCTGTGGGTCCTTGCCACCTCCACAAGCTCTACCGTGCGATGGAAAGACATCCCAGATTTCTAGAGACAGTCTATGCATCGTGTGTGTGTGTGTGTGTGTGTGTGTGTGTGTGTGTGTGTGTGTGTGTTTTCATAGTCCTGATTTACAGCGTGGCTGGGCAGACAGAGTGACAGAGCAGTCAGAGGTTCAGACGACGGCTCCACCTCCAGACACTGGAAGGGCTGGTGCAGAGCGCCCCCTCGTGTACAACTGGTGTAACCACAGTCAGGGGACTTCAGCACGGCGCCAGGAGCAGCGGATCCAGGCATGGCTTGCCAGGGCTGCGCGCTGATGCTCTGGGCGTGGCCCCGGCCCGTGTGCAGCAGTTTCCATGTCATGCGTCAGGTGACATTGTCCACCAGGCCACAACAGGAGTCCAGTGGACTAGGGCCTGTGCTACCCTAACACAGGGGTTCTGACCCGGTTCTGCCCGTTCCCTTTCTCCTGGGAGCGCCGTCCACACCACAGGCTCCTAAGAGGCAGAGGGGGTGCTTCCTGCCCTTCCTGCAGAGGGGGTTGGAGGTCGCCCCCGCATCTGTTTTCTCCCAAGCCGACCTCCCTTTGCTCCTCACACCACTTTAGTCCCAAAGCCAGCAGAGCCAAGCAGTTCCCCTCTCAGTGAGTGGCACTGCTTTTCGTTTGTCACCCACACTTGGCCCTGAGGTAATTTCCCTGATTTAACACACACACACACACACACACACACACACACACACACAACTCATCAGAGGAGGGAAAATTCCAGAAGCTTTCTTCTTTTTTGCAATACTGGATACTGAACCAGGTGTCATGCTTGCCCCCACTCATACCACGGAGCACCCAGGGCTTTTTTTTTTTTTTTTTTTCTTTTTCTTTTTCTTTTTGAGACACAGTCTTGCCAAATTGCTTAGGCCTGGTCTTGAACTTGTGTCCTCCTGCCTCAGCTTGCTCACTAGCTGGCTTTACAGGCTTGCGTCCCTGCATCCAGTTTTGCCTGCTTTTCTTTTTGTTCTCTCCCTTTTTAAAATAAATTTGCTGCTAATGAAAATCTAGAAGGTTAGATGCCAGTGGTGAGAGGTGGCTCTGTGGAGGGAAGAAAACAGGTTGGTATCAGACCTTCCAGCTGAACATTGGCAGGGACCAGAGATGCTGTGAGTGGCTCAAGACAGCTCTGTGGAATGGGGCTACTGACAAGCACTGGCTGCTAAAAGTGAAGGGTCATATAATCTGTGTTCTTCAAGAAGCTTCAAATCCACTAGAGGAGGAATGGCACAAACAGAAATACAAAGCATCATACTTTATTTTTATTTTTTATTTTTATGTATTGAGTACAGGGTCTCAGACTCATAGTGATTCTCCTGTTTTCAGCCTCCCAAGCACTGGGATTACAGGTGCGTGCCACCACCCCCAATCTCAGTGGCCATCTCAGTGCACCCCGGGGGTGGGGCCAGCACAACAGGCCGGGAATCGAACCCCAGCCCCAGGCGCTTTAATCTGCTGAGCTATCTGGCCAGCCCAGCATCATACTTGAGGCAACAGGGTTTTTCTAAGATGAAAACTCAGATGAATTTGCATTGAATTTTTAGGTCATGTTGTATAAGGAAAGTCTGTCATTTTCTGCATAGTTTGCCTGCTCTGAGACAGGATCCTGGGACAGAGCTTGGTGAAGGGAGTCGAGAGGGCCTGGGTCTCCTCTTACATCATTGCCACCAGAGAAGCACAGTTTCTGAAACTTTTCTTTTCACTTTTCTGTTCGACACACAGGTGGCGAAAGTGCCAGTGTCTACGCACACGTTGGACAAATTTTCTCAGGAACACCAGCCATGAGAAATAGATGTCCCCACACTGTCCTGAGGGGGGACCCTGGGGACAGACATCAAATCCACGAAGCAAGAGCTCAAGCTTTGGTGAAAATGTCTCAGCTTGGCTTTGAGCGGTGGGCATCACTTAGGAAGAGGGTGTGAGGGCAGCCTAGGGAGGAGACAGGGTATGCGCAGCCACAGAAACTAGGGTGCTGGTCCTGGTCTCTGGGTCGAGTGGCAATGGGGTGCAATGTCAATGAAAATAAGAGGAGAAGGGAACTACTCTAAGCCGTGAACCTCGTGGATATGGGCCCATCCTCCAGGAGGCCACAGCGTTTAAGCTCTAATGATGATCAGAGGCTTTCTGGGAATAACTAGCCCTGCCCACTTTCCCTGGGAATCTCCACCCCGGGACCCTCGGAGGGCAGGGGCCAGAATGGAGCATTCAGTTCATAAAAGAGGCCAACGAAATGGACTGAGCCTCTTCAGGTGCAAGACCTAGGTTCGCAGTGAGGTCAGATGGTGAGATCACAGGCGCTGCAGCTGCAGGAACAAGGCTCTAGCACTGCCCGCCATTTACTAGCCTGGACCTCAGAAACTGACAGCCCTTAGCTTCAGAGCGCAGATTCCCCTGGGTGGGGTGGTTGTGATCCACGCCTCAGATGTTAATGTGAGGTTGGAAGAGACAACGGATATAAATTACATAGCCAAGTGGTGGCGCACAGTAAGGACTCCGCATATATTAGTCATCTTAATGGCTGAGAAAATGATACTGTAAGGACGCGTATGATCTGTTCCCAGAAGAGTTCCTTTGGTGTTTCGGCAACCTAGAGCAAATAAACCACGCAGAGGATGCACTCCCCCAGCGTTTGCTCAGATTGGCCACACCTCTAAGACGGGAGACCCCGCCCCTCGTCCTCTGGACACGCCTCCAGCACTGGCTTCCTCCCGGCCCCGCCCCGGCCCCGGCCCCGGCCCCGCCCCCGGCCCCGCCCCGACGCGCCTGCGCGATGTGTGTGCGCGGCCGTCAGCTTGGGCGATGAAGCTTCTCGTACGCGGCTGGTGGAGACCCAGGCTGGGCCGCGGTGCGGCGAGCGGGAAGGCGAGCTCTCCGCGGCGGGTGGTGGCGAGCGGGCTCGGCGGCTGTCCTGGCTGGGAGGACGGCAAGGACGCCCGAGGCCGCGACAAGCCGCCCTGGCGCGTGCTCTTCTTCGGCACAGACCACTTCGCCCGCGAGGCGCTGCGTGCGCTCCACGCCGCCAGGTACCGGGCGGGGCAGGGCCTGGGCAGCCGGGGCGTGAGCTCCTTGTCGCGGACCTGGCAGAGGGGATTGGCCTCGGTGTCCCCGCGCGCATCTTCCGGTCGGCCCTGGGGCGACGGGGCTGCACCCCAGCCCGGCCCGGTCAGTGCCGGTATCCCTCGACCGGCTTGCAGGTGCGGAAGCCGGGGCTCAGAGGTCGTTCCGCTGCCCAAGGTCATCAGCTAGCGGTTAGGACCAAAACCACCTCCGACCTCAAAGCACCCCTTTCTAGCTCCTGACACCGAGCCTTCAGGCTTGTGGGCCCGGACCTTGAGCGTGGGCTTCCCGGGTGTGCGCGTTTCCTGCACGCCGCTCTTCCTCCTCCGCCCCAGACCTGCTGCACGCCGGGCTCGGATTTCCTGAGCTGCAAGCGAAGACACAGCCCGAAACGAACCATCACAACTCGAAGGGCTGTACTTAGTATTTATGAAATTTAACAAATCTTGCTTACTGGAAGTCTATGGTATATGGTGGCACCTACTGCTCTATCCCCCTTTACCCCCATTGTTTCTTTTCCCCATTCTGTTTTTTTTTTCTTCTCTGTCCCAATTTTTTTTATTATTAATTAAATTTATGAGTACATTTTAGATACACATATGATCATATCCATCATAGGGAATTTGTACCCGTACATGATATGTTTTGATTCCGCTTTCCCCATTCATGTCTGTTACCAGAAATGGTCTCCCTTCTATGTGGAATCTCTCGTCATTCCTTTCCTTTGTTGTTTTCTGCCCTCCCCACACTCCTGTGCCCACACCCCTTGAAACATCCCCGTCACACCAAGGGGGCATTCTGTCTGCACCTTGCTGTTTTCCATATTGCCACATGCACCTTTCTTCTGGTGATTCACTTGCCTGCACCATTAACCCTGACGTTCTTTTAGTGCCCTGGCACATAATCCTTTAGCTGTAAGTCTTTGGCGTGTTCATGCAGTACCCATTTACTAAATAAACACACAGCCCCTGCGTGGCAGGCTGTAGCTCAGTGTCAGTGGGAGACTGCTCTGGCTTTGATCTCCAGCACAATGAATGTATGAGTGAATGTACAGCCCCTGAGCACTGGAATACTGTACAGTACTGTACAGTAGCTGAAAGTGACAAGGTGGCTTCAAGTGCTACCATAGGATGATGCCTATGGTGTGTACCTTTATTTTTGAATAAGGGGGCAGCAGTGTGCTAAGTAAGTTTGCCTGTCGTGCTGAAGGCCTGGGTCCAGTCCCCATGACTGCAGAAAACAAAACAAGTCAGTATTACTTGACTGATACAAGGTTATATTACAAAATTTCATTGATTCAAAGATAAACAGTGAATGGGCCAGCAACATAGCTCAGTGGACTAAGCTGATACGCCTGTAATCCCAGCGCTGGGGAGACTGAAAACAGGGGGATCACTATGAGTCTGAGCTGCGTAGTGAGACCCTGTAACAAACAGTTTTTTTTTTTTTAAAAAAGTTTAAATGGTGAAGAGTTGTTTTCTTCTATCTCTGGCTTTCATTTCTCAATTCTCCCAGAGACAGTCATTGAGCTCGGTGTCTTCTGGAACTGCTCAGGGCATGTTCAAGCATATGGATATTTAGCCCATCTTTAAATGATTTCTATCATAGATATAGAGCCCATTATTATTTATTTATTTTTTTGGGGGGCAGAACTGGGTATTGAACTCAGGCCCTTGCGCTTACCAGGGAAGCACTTATTCCACTGAGCCATCTCCCCGGCCCCTGTAGAGCCCATTATTAAGAGGAAATAACTAAGACATATGCAGAAGCATATGTATAACATCCCAATTGTATAAGATAATTGCTGTATATGGTTCTGTATGCACTAAAGTCTCTGAAACGGTACTGTCCAAAGGGTAGCCGGTAGACATATATAGCACTTTAAATTTAAAACAAATAAGCCAGGTTTGGTGGCTCACAGTGATTTAAGAGGCTGATGCAGCAGAGTTAGTGAACAATTTGGTGAGACTCAGTCACGAAATACAAAGGCGCTAAGGCGTAGTTCATTGGTAGAGTGCTTTCTAAGCATTCAGCAGGCCGTGGGTCCAAGCCCCAGTGCTACTGGGGAATGAGGGAGGGGGATTAAATAAAAATATAAAAAGCCAGCCGGTGGCACTGCTTTTAATCATTTAGCCATACATGCTTTGTGAGTTTAAGCTATAAAAATGCCCAAACACTGACACATTTTTCTTGCAATCTTTCTCATTCAGGGAAAGCAAAGAGGGAAGGTTGATAGAAAAACTGGAGGTGGTCACGATGCCCTCACCATCGCCCAGAGGACTTCCGGTGAAGCAGTACGCCGTGCAGTCCCAGCTTCCGGTGTATGAGTGGCCGGACGTGGGCTCCGGAGAGTATGACGTAGGAGTGGTGGCTTCCTTTGGCCGGCTTTTGAGTGAGGCTCTTATTCTTAAATTCCCCTAGTAAGTTTTATTTGTAAGGAAATACGGTATGGAGACCTTGATCTTTATAAATGGACCCGGTGTCTAAAACACTGTAATTTAAGCTCAAGTGTGCTTTCTTTCATCTTTTGAAATAAAGATCCTCAAAGGACTTTTACCCACCCGCATTTAAATTTAATGACAGCTCCCAGATTGCCCCTCCAGCTCAGCCCTGCCCTCGCTTCAGGTCCTATTGCCCACCTGTCCATAGGCCTGTTTTGATGTCCAGTAGGCACCTTACATTCAGGGTGCCCCAAACCTCCCAGAACTTTTGTCTCAGTGAAGGCACCTGCCCTGATTCACTCCAGCCACACTGGTCTCCTTGTGCCGTGAGCATTTGTCTCCCTGGAGAGCTTTGTATTAATTTTTCTGTTGTCTGGAAAACTTTTTTTGCATAGCTATTGTGTGCCTTGTAAGGACACTTTAGTTAACAGTGGACTGCATATCAGACGATGGTGTCGTGACAGTGTGTGGGATGCTGTGGCCATCTGACCTTGTATAAGAGCACACTCTGATGTCACACAAGCAAATCACCTCACCAGGCGTGTCCCCTTTGTAAAGTGATTCATGATTGTGTCAATCATTCTCTTACTCCTTCAGGTCTTTGCTCAGTTTCTTATTGACAAAAACTTCTTAGACTTGGGTTAAAATTATAATCCTCCCCCCGTCACTCTTGTCCCTTTCTCTCCTTTGTTTTTCTCCACAGGCCTCAGCATCATCTGACAAATATTTTACATCCAGTAGTTTGTGTTTTTTTGCTCATCTGCTGCCTTTTGCATATGAGCTCCCCAGGAGCAGGAATCAAGTGATGGAAATTGTGTGACTAAGCTATTGTGTAACTGTAACTTGCTTTGTCTCTGAGATGCATATGAAGATTTGAGTAGTTCTCAAAGTAGTAATAAATGCCTTTTAAAACTGTATCTTAAAACTCCAGGTATGGAGTTCCAAAGCATCTTTGGAGTCATGACTAGCTGTCCTTGCTCTGTTTTTAATTAAGCATCATGAATTTCTTATGGACAGAACTTTGACTTTTCTTTTAGGTGCTAGAGAACTAGACAGAGCTTTCAGATGTGTCAAATTTCTGGGAAGGTGTCATGGTGCACAGTAGCGCGCTAGCGTAGGCAGCGGTGACTGCGTGCTGAGGTCCGTACTGATGCACAGGTTTCTGCGTTTTCCAACCCAGCGGCGTGCTGAACGTGCATCCCAGCCTCCTCCCGAGGTGGCGGGGCCCGGCCCCCATCATCCACACGGTGCTCCACGGAGATCCTGTGACTGGAGTGACAATCATGCAGATCAGACCTAAACGGTAGAGTTCATTTTCTTTTTTTTGAGATTTTTGTGATGTTTTAAAATGTTGCTATTGGTCTGTTTGAGGTACGTGTGGGGAATTGAGTGAAAGGACAGTGCTCACTCCTCTGCCCCAGGGAGCGGTTCCTTTCCGTTTGTTTATTTATTTCATGGTACTAGCGACTGAATACAGGTTCCTTAGATTAAGCTGCATCCACACCTCTGTATAAATAATTTTTTTTTTTTTTTTGTATTGGGGAAGGGCCTACAGAGTGTTCAGGGTCTCACTACTACATCAGACTCATAGTGACCTGCCTGTTCACAGCCTCCTAAGAGCTGGGATTCCTGGTGCACACCACCACACTCAGTCTCAATTGCAGGCCCAGGGATTGAACTCCGGCCCCTGCACCTACTTGCAGGCGCTTTAATTCGCTGAGCTATTTTGCTGGCCCCCTTTTTTTTTTTTTTTGAGAGAAAGGGTGTTGCTGAATTGCCCGTTCTGAGCTCAAAGGTGGAGTCCTCCTGCCTCAGCCTTCTGGGGTTCTGCCAGTATAGGCATGTGCCACTGCCTGCTTCCTTTGCTTTGATACAACTTTGTTCTTGCTCTCTAACCTAAGCTGTATGCCTCTTGGTATATATGCGACATCTCTTTAAAGTTCTTAGGAATTTCCTAATTTTTCAGTTGAAAAGAAGTATATTATTGGGCTGGTGAGATGGCTCAGTGGTCTAAAGCACCCACTTGGAACAAGCTTAGCAAACAGAGGGATCACGGTTCAATCCCCCAGCACCACATGCCAGCCAGCCCCGCCCCCTGGTGGACTGAGCTGGCCACACACACACACACACACACACACACAAATAAATAAAATTTAAAAAAAAAAGTATATTATTAATAGTGAGTGCACAGTGGAACACATGCCTGTCTTCTGCCTTGCCCCGGAGCAGGTGGCCAGATAGCCACTGGTGCTAGAGGAAGGGTGGGTGAGAGGGCTGCGAGTTGGTTAGGCCTCTCTGGCTGCCAGGCTCAGGGGCTTGGTGAGGCCAGCGTACCTGCATGGTGCTCTCCTGACCGAGTTCCTCCAGTCTCCACTTCTGCAGGGGCTCGAAGCTGTATCCCCTCCCAGGAGTTTTCTTGGAGGCTTTTTTGGTCCCATTTGTGAGAATGATGTTGTCCTTAAGGATGAGGAAACACAGAAGATGGTGAAGAGTGAAGGTGGCACAGTAGAAAAACGCTCCTTTCTGTGATGGGCTCTGTTTGAGGAAAGGTGAACCCAGCCCTTAATCAACCTGGAGAGGGGCTAGAGCACCGAGGAATTAGAACTGAATTTGTAGGTCACGTTGAACTTCTCAGTGACAAGAGCAATACTCACAAATTTGTAAACCTTGTGAAAGAAGTGGCCTTACCTGAGAGCTGGCTCAGCAGAAATTATGATTTTGAATTTATGCAAGTTGAAAAGCCATATGAGTCTTCCATCGACGCCAGTGGCTGCCGGAGGTATTTTCTTAAGGTGAGAAGACTGACCGACTCGGTGAAGAGTGTGTGATCGCTGTTCCTGTTCACCAGCTTGCCCACATCCTGACATTAACATCTCTATTGAAATAGAAGAGTGCATGGAAGATCATGTACATACAGAGCTTGACTATAACAAATCATAGTATCATTTAAAGGATGGGATTGTTGGAATTTTACTTCTTAGTAAGAAAAAAATACAACATGTGGAGTTACAGTTGATCAAGAAAGAGGTCACAGGAATTGTACCCAGGACTACAACTGGAATAGACACCATCGTCAACTATGAAATAACAGATAGTGCACCAGTAAAAGGTGAGTCCATTCCTGTAAGGCTTGTTAGCAGGATGTGACCAACGCCAATAATGGCAGACTGAACAAAAAATGTTCAGTAAGGTACTCTTTGAATCTAGTGCTTGTTGGAAGGCAGAGAGACTTCAAGCAGCAGGAAATCATCTTATGGAGAAAATCTCTTGAAACACTAAGGAAAGAGAATGAACTTCCATCTGCAGTTTGAATCTCCAGACTCACCGGCATCTGCTGAACAGCATGAAATATGAACTGAATAGGAGGAAAGGAAAAGAATCCATACTTGCTGCAGTGGAGTTCGGAGGTTAAAGGTGGTCGCAGCATGTGGCGTGGGGAGGCCAAAACTCCACGTGTAACAGTCCTCCTGTATGTTCCAGTGCTGCACTTATTTTACAGTATAACTTCGTGTGCTTCAAGTAGAAATATTTTAAAGTGTGTTTTCTTTGAAATGCTGGCGATTTCCTAAACTGCCCATATTTTTATTTTATATTGCATAGATTCGTGATAAGCACTCGGATACTGTATCAGCATAAACATTAAAGATTTTCATTCAAGGG